GGGGGAGGGGAACAGCGTTGGGGAATCAGAGAAGGGAAACAGACAAATTGCTGTCCTTTTTGTTCTTCAGTCTAGTTGTGGAGGACGTAGCTTCACTGGCCCATGTAGCTATTAGCATTGTGCTCTTCCCAGGTGAGGCAGTCGCTCGCCAGCCACTGGATGGCCACTCATGGCAGCCCAGCTCCAGGCGGAGCTGTTGTTCACCATCTTAGCTGTAGAGGGGGCAGCGTGACTTGCCCTCATGTGAAATCCAAACTGGGGCCCTGCTGCTCAGAGCTGGCATCCCAAGCCAACTCCTAACCAATGTGCCACTCGGCCGGCCCAACAATAAGCATTTCTTGATTGCTCACTTATGTATCAAACACTAGGGATGCAAAACAGCATAAGATCCAATCCCTTCCTTCAAGGAATTCACAGACTGAAGTGGGGATGACTGGTACTCAAACAGATCACTGTAGCATAATGTGGTAACTCTTAAAACAGAGGTAAGAACAAAGTGCAGTGGGAGACGAGAGAAAGCCAAGGATCCTGTGTGCTACAGGCCTGTGGTAATGTGGTAAGACAAAACAACAGAGGGTGCCAAGCTCCTTTCAAAAACTAGGAATTCAATTATGTAGTGACCATACATGCCTGTTTGCATTAAGACAGTCCCAGTTTATCTCTGTTGTCTGTTATCCCATCTGATTTAGCACTTTTCCCAAACAAATGATGTACGTACAATTTTATCCTTCCAGCTTCCAACCACAGTCTTAGCTATAGTGTAGGAGGCGCTCATGTGCAGTGAATGGAGTCTCACTTTAACATGTGATTAATGAAAGATAACCAGAGACCCTTTCAGTCAAAACCAACATGACCCCTGGCAGCTGCTTGACATTCCAGCCAGTTAGGCTACAGCCTCTGTCTTGGCCTGTGAGACGCATGAAGCTGCCAGGCTGCAAGTCAGTGGGAGCAGCAGGAAATGTGGGAAATTATAGGTTCTGTTGCATGCTCAGGACCTAGTGTGGGAAAGATGCTCAGCGGTCTTACTGAGAGTAGTTTGAGCTCTCTTGCAACACTGGTTCTGTTATTTATTACATGGTGTAAAAACATAACTATTTTATTGTTTGGTATCAGTTTTTTATTTGCTAGTAAATCCTTTTAGCTCTGAAGGGCTAAAAATGAAACATATATCTTTGATGTAAATTTAAGTACAGTTTCTGAAGAAAGTTGGTTGCCATTTACTCCCTACCATGGGAACCATCATGATGCCAATGGCCCACATGAAAATCAAAAGACATAAATCTGCTGAAGAACATCAGAATCTACTTTAAGAGTTTGTGCTTATTTTGAAAAGAGTATATCCAAAGACAATGCATTACGTCGTGTAGCTACAGAAGGTCCATTTATATATCATGTGAGCATGACTTTTCATTTAGAGCAAATGAGTTTTCTTCTAGTCTCAACTTTTTTATTATTTGTATATCAAATGATGCATCTTGCAATGATCCAGAACTTCTTTTGGTAACTGAACCCTCTAACTTTTAGTTGTATTTTGTTCAAAATAGTTGAACAAAATTTAAAAAGTATCCGAAACATGGAATGCCAAAAAACTTCAGTTTTTGAAGATTTAGGGAATTGTAATTATTGAAAACCAAGCTTGCAAATAAGAAGATGTTGAAATTTACCCCTATAAAACCAAGGGAATAATTAAATGTTATATAATGAGAGCTCAAAATGTATACAAGATTTAATTTTTAAATTCTATAATTGTGCTTTAGAATATCTCAATTTATACAAAAACTCTTTTGATGGAGCTCCTATTTTTAGCTGGACAAATTTTTCTTCTCTAATGGAATTAAATAATATCAAGAAGGTCTAAGATTTTGTAACATCTAAATTTAGTAATACATTCAAAAGAATCATAAACAGAAAAATATTTGAAGGAAAAAATACAGTGCCTATGAAAATATTTGGGTTACAATACTATCACATTTCAATACAAAAAACCCCTGAAATTGTACCTCAGCACCAATAGATATTTTCTCCATTAAAAAAACATTAGGGTCAAAAGCGAAGAATCAATTAAAGGTGTTAACAAATTGAAATTGATTAACCATAAACTGCAACTTTAAACAAGATTGCAAGTAATTTTGTAAAAAATTTAAAAGAATATTCTAATAAAATGTTTTTTAAAAGAATAAAACCAACACAAATTCATTAGAAAAATACAGGGGCATGTAATGAAGACATATATGGCCAAGAAAGTATGTGACTATGTATCCAGAATAAATATTTTGCTTATGTTACCTTTTAATGTTTAGATAATAAGGTAGTTTTAAAAAACAAGTTTGTTTAATGTACAAAGACATATTATTTTAATATTTTAAACAATTGCATTTTAAAAGTAGTTTGAATAGAATTATTTTATAGGCCTACCAAAATCTTGTCAATATATTGATCAATAAATAAAAGTTTCAAATAAATACATAACTTTATTCTAGTGCCCCCTTTAGCTCTCAAAAGCATACCAGTTCAGACAATAAATTACATGGTCACCCTAATCTTAGATGCAGCATCAAGTTTCTAAAGACACTGCCTTTTTATTAATGGTAAACTGGGAGGAACCAGGGCACCAATCATTTCATGTTTCTGATAGATATGTGATGAAGGTGTGCATAGGTAGGGAAAGTTAGAACAAAAAAGAAGTCATCAAAGAAGGAAAGAAGGAGGAATCATAAATACCTCCCCACACACAAAACCCAACATTTTTGTAATGAGATTTTTTACAAAAGGAAACTAATATATAGATCTTACCTGCAAATGCACTAGGAACATTATTTAAACTTGGATTCTGAAACTTGATGTGTTTATCTGTCCACCATGCAATTCCACTTGATAGCAATGGGACTTTGATATGTATAGATGAATTAAGATTGTATGAAAGAATAATGGTGTCTGTAAGGAAATTAAAAATTATGTTAGAGGTGTAAGCAAGTATTTTTGCCACGCTTTGACGTGCAAAACCAGACACAGGTGAAAAATAAACCTTGGTGTTAGCAACTCTCTACATGCCTACCGTCCATAGATGCTGGAATTACAAGACTATTCTTTTTCTTGTCAAGGCCCCAATTCTTGAAAAATACCCTTATGCTCCATTTAACTCATGTCCCTAACTACTTCAGATCTCTGGTAAGGAAGAACTTACTTGCAAATAAAATATCATAAGTCAATGCATAATGGCTACAAAATTTTTTTTAAATTGCCCACTCAGCTGCAGAGATGATCTTCTGGACATTTAGATTGTTACACACTTATGAAAGGGTACACCAAGGAGATAGAAAAGTCACCTACCATTGAATATGCTGTTGGCAATAGCACCACAAGGAGCGATGGGGGTCCCATTTTGGGACGCACTGAATGGAGCACAGTTTCCAACATCCTGGATGCAAGATGATACAGGAATGAGAAGTGCTTTTGGTAAATTCCCTTAGAATGTTGAAAGTGAGAACATTGGCAATGTAAATCAATCCACACTGATTTATTGGCACAGACTAAGATTATGGACTGCTAACTGATTTTTCCCAGGCTCCTGGCTTAGACTAGGAAATTTTTGTTTTGGAGAGGTGTGTGTGTGTGTGTGTGTGCGCGCGCGTGCGTGCAGGAGAGTGCATGTGTGCAGGTTTTCTTTTCCCCCTCATTAGCAATACATAGCATATCAAATATGTCTGTAGGAAGAAAATTTACCTTGCTGGCTGTGCTACACATCACCCTGCGTCTACACTGGAAAATGTTTTTAAAACTTTTTTTTTGAAGTGTAATTTATATTCCTAAAAGTATAAAAGTCCTGAGTCTCTAGGTAGATGACTTATTGCAAGGAATCCATCCACCTTAAAACCAGAATATATTTTTAAAGGAGTGATTGCTAAAAATCATTTGTTCATCATTTTCATATAATAATGTCAGTAGGAAAAAGTTTCATTTTAGCTTTTCTTGTTAGCATGCTGAATATCATCTATCAAGAATAAAATTTTGTAATACAGGGTCTGAAAGGTTGTTCAAGTAAAGCAAAGGCTTTTATTCAAGTAGAGCCCAATTTCCTTAAACTTGTCTGGGTTTGAAGGCCCTAATTATAGGAAAGACAATACTAGATATAGGGTGAGCCAGGCTGAGACAAACCACTCAAGGTTACTATTAAAATGATCAGTGAATCCATCAACTAAAAAGGGCAACTTTAAAGATAACTACAGAAATTAAGTGTGAAGAAATAATATTGAAATCCAATCAATGTGTCAATCATTCAAAGAAGCAAAAACTCTACTGTTTGAAGCAGCTCTAGTATGTCATCCACTTTATTAAACAGAAACATAAAATCCTGAATTGTGGTTGAGAGGTACTTGAAGATTTGCTCTTGTCACACATTCACTATTACCAAGACTTGGACAGTTCAGTATGTATCCAATTTTAATATAAAATGCTGTCAAATAAAAAAAATGGTTGATGCATGAAAGAATAACCATTTAATTGGACAAGATTCACATTCCTCTCTGACGAGGGTAAGTACTCTTTCTCAATAGGGAAAGGGTACTTCAATTTATGCAAGAACGAAATGAGTATTTCTGTCTTGTAAAACTTCAGCTTTTGAGTTTATTTTCCATACTGTCTTCTAGAATAAAAAATCCATTTAGTTAAAAAAAAGAGTATTATGTCAAAGTAAATAAAGCCTTACCTTTATATCTCTACCCATCAGTTGGCTATTACTTCTGGATAGAACATATGGAGAGAGGTTCTGATAGAAGCCATATAATTTGTAGTACATGTAAACATTACCCTGTAAAGGAAAAAAGAAAAAGTGAGAAGAGTAAAACACTAAACTGTAATGTTAATAAACACGGACAGGATTTTTTAAAAATTAGTTTCAGGAGTACAAAACAATGTAATAGTTATACATTTCACCCCTCACAAAGTAATAACCCCCCTCCCCCAATCTACTACCCCTCTGACGTTGTATATATCTATTACACTTCTATTGACTCTATTCCTTATACTATAATCCATATCCCGTGACTATATATATTAAATTATAGCTGACATATAATACTATTCTGTTTCAGATTCAGGTGTACAGTGCAGTGGTCAAGCATCTACACCATCCATGGAGCAGGATTTTTTAAATATAAAAAGTAGTACAGAAAAAAAATGATGGAAACTGAAAGTGTCTTTAGATCATATAGAAACCTAAGCAATCATTCAAAAACCAACCAACCAAACAAACAAACAAAAACCAGTGTTGGAAAATTCTGGTCTAATACAGAATTATTAAAATGACTAAATAACTTACTTTTAATTTTTTTTTTCACATGGACTACTGCACTCCTGCCTTGAAAATTTTTTTATAACTAGTCTTTGTATTCTCTCTATATAAAATTTGATTTTATAAATATTGTTAGTTCCCAGCCATACTGGGAAAAGGCTTTGCCTGGGGGTTGCGGTAGGCATAAAAATTAATGTGATTTCAAAGCAAAGCCATGAATCACCTAAAACTGGAGCCACTGAGCATCTTGGGTGCATGTACATACTGGGCACGTGAAAGGCAGGAGACGGGCTCTTGGCAGTCTAGCATCGGGTATTTTTGTCTTCTTATCTCTAGGATCTAGCACAGTAGCGGGCTTGCAGTACCTGCTCAAGAAATGGTGGACCACTTGTAATGGACAAAAAGATGGAGTAATTCACTGATCCAAGAAAAGGTGATTTTTCACCTTAGCAACAAGTAGCCTTGCTGCCACGGGAGACATGCCTTTTCATGGATACTGCCGTATGAGGCAGTCCAATCACAGGCGACCATCATGCTTCATACCTTTATGGTCATATGCCAAGTGCCCGGAAATTCTGTAGGCAGACTGGATACAGATTTTACTAACAGCATATAAAATGCAAATAGAAATGGCCAGTGTAGCTGTTTATAATTAATATACTACCCACCTCCAAAATGCTAAAGGCCTGCATTCAAAAGTGTATGACCGTCTAACATACACTAAGTGCCTCCCACAAAGTTAGGTGTTATATTCAGTGCTAGAAATACAAAAGTACTCCTTTACAATTCCCCAAGTGAATTGATCTTCTCACACAGCATTTGGAAAGACTTTTGGCCCCACACCAAGGGCCTTTAAGAGGGTGAGTATGGACAGCGGGTGCTGGTACCCAGAGTAGGCTGGGAATAAAGGGCATGACTCAGTGAAGTCCGTTACAGAAAACAACAAGAGCCAGAGGCCTTAGTCACTTGTGAGAGAAAATTCTTTCGAACACTGAGAAGGGTTGGAGCAGGGCCACGACAAAGAGGGAGGCTGCAACACGGTAACAGGAGCGTGGATGTGAGGGCATCGCGGGAACGATGGTTTCACTTTCTCACCCGGGGAGGAACCGCTACTATGGACCCTTAACTATAGAAAATACGAAATCCGCAGAAAGGGATTTACCACATATTTTCTTGGAAGCTTAAAAGAGAATTCTACTCACCCAAAGTTATATATTTATATAAATGATAAAACAAACAGGCAGGGGACTTTCACCACACTAGGGACAGGAGTTTTAATAACCTTTTTTTAAATGAATCTTTGTCCAAGATTTTGCTTAACACAGCCTCCAAGGCCATCGTCTTTTTGACTAGTTCTGGAGGCACATACTTGGTGGTGTTTCTTCTCTTTAAATCGGTGGCGCTTTGTGCAGCATCCCGAGTTTAAGGCAGACGATCTTGTGTGGACACATGGTCAAGTGTGTGTCACCAGTTCTAACCGGCTACTGGAAGGCCATGTGACTGCCCTCAACAGTGGGTTGGGTTTTTACGGGAAAGCGTTTGCCTGAAAGGAATGGTCAGCAGCTGGTAACACTTCATTTGTCTCTGGGGTTTCAAAGGACACAGACAGATGGGAACTGAAGCCCATGAAAGGTTTTATCCTTTGGGTTTTTTCTTCAGAAATATAAGCACTCTGAGCCCCAAGAAGGAACAACCCTGCCTGACACATTGATTTCAGTCTTCTGACTTCCAGAACTGTGAGAGGAAAAAAAATCTCTGTTGTTTTAAGTCCCCCCACCCGCAATGATGCAACACTGACTTGTACTTTGGTGGGTGGGGGGACAGCATTGGAAGCTGAGGAAGGCAAGAAAGGGCACAGCTGTAGAGAACAAGAATTTTGACCTATAATCAAAGGACACATATGCAAAACTTACCCCAGTGACTTTATACAGAGTTCACTTATAACCTAAGTACAAGTCAGCCATTTCCTTATCATTTAAATCTGACTTACTGATGAAAATGATCAGAGCAGCCCTAATCAATCTAGATGTATTCAGACTATTACTGATGCCAACATGCTTTCATCTGGTATCCAGGGGGGAGATAAGAGACACAAAAAAACCCAAAGCTTCCTGGAACATAAAGCATTAGCATTTAGCATTTTATCTTTCTTCCATGCATTTTATACACTAGCAAACATTTTTTGAGCATCTGCCATGTGAAATCTACTGTGCCATGCACTGTGGAGGAAGCAAAGATTCATATGTTCATTCAATAAATATTAATCAAACACCCACAGTATGCCAGGCATTATTACAGGTGCTTGAGATACAAGAGTGAGAGACAATAAACAAGACATATAATAAACCATTAATTTCTAGCAGGTGATGAGTACTATGGGAAAAATTGAAATTACAGCAAGGTGACAAGGATCAGGAGTGCAGGGGTGAAACAGGGTGGCCAGCTAGACCTCCCTGAGGTGAGGATTGAGCCAAAACTTAAAGGAGATAGGGGAGTTAGCCAAGAGGATAGCAGGCACCAGGAGCAAGGCAAGGGTATGCCAGACTGTCTGAGGAACGAACAAGGAGTCCAGCGTGGTTGGAGTGGGGAGGCGGGAAAAGAGTGGAGAGATCAGGTCAGAGAGGAAATACGAAGCCAGATTATATCAGGCCTTGTAAAGACTTGGGCTTTTTCACTTAGTGGAAAGAGGAGCCATTGCAGGAATTTTTAAGCAAAGGAATAACATGATATGACTCATGCTTTATTTTTATTTTATTTTTTATTTTAGTTTTTTTAGCTGAGCCATCCTGCCACCTGTTGGCAGCTCAGCTCGGGCCGGGAATCGAACCGCTGTTGCTCAGAGCTCGCACTCTTGTGTGAGCTCTTAACCAACTGAGCCACTCGGCTGGCCCCACTCACACTTTAAAGAGTGAAACCTAGATGCTATGTTGAGACACTGATATAAGCAGGAAGACCTGTGAGGGGGCTCTTGTAGAAGTTCAGGTGAGAGTCGAATGTGGCGTGGAACTAGGTGGCAGCAGCAGAGGTGTGGAGAAGCAGGCAGGCTTTGGATATGTTTTGAAGGTAGAGCCAACATGGTGAATTGGATGTGAGGTGTGAGAGACTGGGAGTCCTGGGCCTTTGACCTGGGCCCCAGATGGATGGAGCTACTATTAGCTGAGATTGAGAAGTCTGTGGGTGGAATAGGGTTTTGTTTTGTTTTGTTTTTGGTGGGGGGAGGGAGGCAAGAGGAAGAATGAACATCAGTTCAGTTTTGGAAATACCTATTAGTCATCCAAATTTTGACATCAGGAAGGCAATTGGAAATACAAGTGTGGATACTGGAAGAGCTAGAGATATAAAAGAATGTTGGCTACAGACGGCATTTAAAGCCAGGAGGTAGATGACATTTCCAAGGGAGGAGAAGGCTGAAAATTAAGACTAAAGTCCTGCAGATCTGAACATAGAGTCTTAGGAAAATAGGAGGAACAGCAAAGGTGCTAAAGAAGGGCAGCCAGGGAGCTAGGCAGAAATCCAAGACAGCATGGTATCCTGAAAGCCAAAAGGAAGTGTGTCAAGGACGAGGGAGTGATCACCAGTGTCTGGCAGGCTGACAAGGCGCTAAGGACTTGCTGTGGGTTTATCCAGGTGGAAGTCATTGGTAACCTTGCAAGTTCACTGAGCCTTGCTAAAACGTTCTTAAGAACACACTGCTGTCTAGTTCCTACCTTCCTTCTTCCTTTATTTCCCTCCCTTCCTCCCCTCCTATCCCTCTTTCCTTCTCCCCTTCCCTTTCCCTCACAGGGGTCAGAGCTGTGTTGTGGTCTGACAGCTCTCCCAGCCTCCTCCGGCTCCCACCCCATATTCCCTCACAGGCAGTTTCCCCCAATAAATCTCTCGCATGTCTAATCCTGTCTTGGCATCTGCTTCTCAGAGGGCCTGGACTAACACAAGACTTTAATCAGCCCAAGAGAAGGGACTTCTCTTAATATTTCTTTGGCATTTTTCACAGTGCCTGTTAGCCAGGCCAAGAGGCAACTACATATGTAGAATGACCTGGGGGGGACCCAAGGAGAGTCCCACCAGGTGTGTGACCCCCGACACTAACTCACTGTGTGACCTTGGCCAAGTAACTTATCCTCTCAGCCCATTAATCTTCTCACTACAAAATGAGTGGTTAGATTCAGTGATCTCTACCGACCCTCTTGCACTGACATTTGGAGTAAAAACTGTTTGATTGATGTTAAGAGTTATGTTACAAAATTGAGTAGGTAAAGAATCTGGAAACTTAGACACAAAGGAGAAGAAGAAAATTCCAAAGGAAAGGGGGTAAGAGCTGCACATGAAGTCAACACTTTATAAGATCCCCTATACCCACCTTGCCTTATTTTTTAATGTTGAGTTTCGGGAACTTTTGGTAGAAATCATGAACTGCCAAGTATGAAACAGGAGGAGATCAGCATATAGCCAACTGGAGGCTCTTGCATTTCACTTACCTGCATTGTCTCTGGAAGGTAGAAAGGAATAGAGCAGGTGCATTCTTTGTCAAAATTAATGGCATTTTCCCGCAGTTTTGCACAATCTGCACATATATTTGTGTAATTGATCTGTCAGGCAGGGAAGAGAACAATTATTAATAAAAAGTTACCTGAGTATATACAGAGGGTGCCAAAAAAGTATATACATTTTAAGAAAGGAAAAAACTGTATGAAAATTATGCTGATGGTAACCACTTTTAATGCAGTTTTTTCCTTTCTCAAAATGTGTATACATTTTTTGGGCACCCTCTGTATATATTAAAGTTCAAGTCCTGAGCCCATCAAAGTCTTCAAGTTCTCTGCGTCCAGAGCATGCTGTCTGGGCCATGAATGAAGGGCGGCCCGGCGAGCAGGACGCGTGTTTCTGCAGACGCTCGGGAGGACTGGGCCTCTGTGCAGTCCTTCGTGTCGGGACCTGTAGCATTTTGCCACCGACCTGGAATTCAGTGTTTCTGTTGCACGTGTCTGTAACTTGCTGAGATAAAGGCTCACGCCTGGATCCTAAAGCGGTGTCGTTAGGAAAGGACTAGTCAATGTCTCACGAGAACTGGGCCTGTGGCCTGAGTCTAATTAGCTTCATGGGGAAGTCACTTCACTGGTTTTCCATTTTATTGTATGGAAAATATTTATACTAACGAATACTTTTACATGGCATCTAGGGGAAGTTATTAAAAATAACTGAACATAGAAAAAGCATTTCCCAAATGCAGGGTTATTGACGCATGTGGAATAATTCCGATTTTAAAGGGTTGTTACATTTTGTTTTTTAAAAGCTCTGTGAAAATGGTCGAGTGGACTCTTCTAAAGAAGGGTGGTTGTTCCAAACGGGCAAATCCTGTGAGCTGCGGCTGAAGGGGTCAGGATGTAAAGGTGCGGCTTGAAAAGGAGGGAGGCTGGGGGCTGGGAGGGGCCGCAGAGGCTGCTGGTTAGCTGCAGGGAAAGCTTGTCTCAGGTGCCCAGGGGCTGTCATGGCTGCTTTGGGGCCTTCTGCTTCCCCCCACTGTTTTGAGGAGTAATTAGAAAATTATTGGAATGGGGGAGGAGTAGGGAAGCAAGGGAGTGGCTTTGTCCTTGGTAAGCTGCCAATGGCACTTAGGACTCTTTGGGGGAGAAGACTAAGAAAGAAGGAATTTCGAATCCTTGCAAAGCCACTGGGAGTTTTGAAACCAAATAGGTAAAGTGTTAGTACTAAATTAAAGATTAGCCAAAAGGCTACTTAATTGTACTTAGATGTTTATATTTACTTAAATGACTCTTGAAACAAGCAGCAAGGCTTAAACTACTATTATTTTGGGAAATATTGATGCATTTTCTGTTGGTGAAACTGCAATCTAATTTTTAAAAAGCAGTAAAAAACAAGGATGTATTGTAATTGAGAGCTAGCACACTGAACCATGACTGAGGAAACAGGGGTTCTGGTTCGGCCAATCTCTGATCCTGAGTTAAATATTTAATCTCCAGGGTCCATATTTTGTTCTTTAGTGTCATTTCATCTAGCAGTTAATTGGTCTGTGAGGTCATTGTCGCAGTATACATTCTACTCCATGGATTCGTGTTGGAGTTCTATCAATGCAGAATTAGGGGAAAAAACGTTTCATGATCAAATGGTTTTTGAGTAGATGACACAGCCTCTGTGTGGTGGCTTTATTCTAAGGTGCTTTCTAGGTCTAAAACTTTTATAAGGAAAACATATCTCTGATTTATTGTCACATACTTTGGTGCTCAAGTGGCCTTGTAAGCCTGTAGCTCTAAAATGACAGCAAAGACTATAGTCTGCGCCTTATTGAATTTTGGGGAAGCAGAAATTAGCATTCTGGCTTAAAGGGAACTGTGAAAAGGGCACTTACTTGTTGTGCCCAGGTCTAAGTGAGAAGTGGAGAGAGCCCACTCAGAACTTTTTTTCTACTAGGTTTACACTGGCCAGGGGTATATACTTCATCTTATCACCCAATATAATGAAACACTTCCATGTCCAAAAGAGGATCCCACACTCTGGGTGGTTTCTGGTTTTCTTGTATAAAAGCAAAGTGTTAGAAACAGTCCTACCTGGAGTGTCTAAAAAAAAAAAAAAAGTCGATTGGAAAATCCCCTTAACATTCTGATGAAAGCATTCTGTTGGAAGTTGTCTGCAGAGGGGCCTTAGCCCACCATGGACTGAGGTCCCCCTCACATGCATGAGGCTGCCCTTCACAGTGGGTGGGGGTGGGTGACCAGAAGGGAGGAAGCAGAAATGACATAGGAAGCGAGGAAGAACCAGAAAGAAAGGGGCTGGTGAAGAAGAAAATAAAAAATTAAACAGGATGAGCCGTTATTGGAAATGAATATTAACCTTAGAAGCTGATGACTTTATCCCCTTCCACGAGGCAAGTTTAATCTTTTCCTGCCATTTTGTCTCTGCCACCCGGTGAGGTCTAATGGTTTACATACCACACTGGAGGGCTCAAAAGGATTTAGGGGCATTTAATTCCTGGAGAGATAAACTGCCTGGAGGTGGCAACAGAAAACAAATAGAAAGGCAATCAAAGGAATGGGACCTGGACCGACGTTTTCCTTTTTGAAGTCCTCACTATTTGCTCTAATTCATTTTTCCAATAAGCGTGTGCCTATTGTGTACTGGGCAGTGTACAAGGAAGAGGCTGTGGATACAGTGAACAAGCCAGCCATGGCCAAGTTCTCTGTTCTTACCACACAGGTTTACCTCCTTAAGAGGTCAGACGGATTAGGGTCCTTGCCTTTCCTAGATTCAAGTGATGATCTCACGGGGAGTTCATGTGCAACGGGAAACACACTATGCTTGAGTCGGGCAAAATTGAGACCTCTATCTTTGGCTTGTCATTCTTTCTATTAATATGATTCATGGGTCTCTGGCAGCCATTTGGCCTCACCTCTCCTCCCACCGCTATCAATGGCTTGCTCAGTCCTCTGCCCGCATAAGAACCTTCTGACTTTCCCGGAGCCCTGTAAATAAGTATGGCTGAACTGGCCAGTGTGAAAGCGAGTGTTCTCAAGAGGAGATAGGGATGAATAAAGCCACCACACAGAGGCTCTGTCATCATCTCTACCTGCCAGCTGAAAAAGGGATGTTCCGTTCTCATCTAGTTCCCTGTTGAGGGGCTGTGTTTTCACACAGACCACTCATTTACAGTCCCAATTCTTAGAAACTGCATTCAACATGGAAGAAGGGACAAACCTCTATCTCCTTGGTGCTCTTTGCAGACAATATAAGGATGATGCCCATGCCAAGGCAGAATGCTCCTGTGATAAAAAAGCCAGAGAGGACCTTGGTGGCGGAGAGCTGGAGCTGGTAGGCGGGTAATTGCTGCTGCTTCAAAGCGGTGTTGTCTGGCAGTCTGGACTGACAAATCTGGGATGTGCTGTCCATTTGGATGCTGCAGGTGACCAGGATATACTTTTAAGGCATTTATAACATTACTACTAATAGTAATACCACCTAATGGTAATATTAACTTAAAAATGATGTGAACCTTTCTCTGTAGTTGCGGTCTTTTGGCTTCTTGGAATTATTCATGAACCAGAACTGACACTCAGCAGCACAGCTCTCTTTAATCAGCAGCTATTAGGTGTATTTAACTTAGGTTCAAATAGCTTGGTGCTAAATGCCATGCTGAGAAGGACTATTCCCCAGCAGGTTTTGTATAAACCAACATCTGGTGGCGCTGGGAAGCAGTTCTGATGGGCTATTTCTGGGATGTGGTGACTAAGTCAAGGTAATGCCTTCCTGAAAGGGGGGAACTGGATTTATCTTTAAGAACCTGTTTAAATCATTGGAGATTAATACAAAAAATTAAAGTTAGGACTGTCAGCTTTTTTCCAAATGTGGTTATCGCCTAACATGAAAACAAACTAAATTGGGAAATGCTGTCAGATTACAAACTTTGCTATTGGTGATGAGAAAGGGAGGAGCAAACAGGATTGTAGAACACATATGTCTAATCTCAGCAGCTTCCAATTTTTTCATCCACAAGAAAGACTCTAATATAAAATATAGTTTAAAACCATCTTTCTAATCTTTCCCAAGCACATGCTTTGGACTAGCCCAAATGAGGCAAGAGAAAGACAGATAATGATTAGATGATCGATATTGTGATATATTATTATTGGTTTTGGGGTTTTATCACTTATTAGAAATTCACTAACATCATTTTCAATAGGCTGTTAATTATTACTTCCTTTTCTTTAAGATGCATTTGAGATGTAGGATTAGGATTTTTAAAAAATTAGGTTAAGTCTATAATCTTCCTTCTTGATTAACATTAGGTGGGAAATCCATGCTGGACGATTTCTGTATTAAAGGAGGCACTGACTTTGGCAAATGTCCCTAGTTTGAAAGAATACAAAGTAAATGCAAATACTTATATTGGGACCAGACAGCCTTGTGCTAGGAGAAGGTAGTGAACACTTCTAGTTCACATCTACAATTTGTTTTACTAAATAAACATGGCCAAGAGCTTGGGTTTAAAAGGCAGTAACAGCCTATAAGATTAGATTATATACACAGGATTAGCCAACAAAATATCAGGTATGTTTGCAATCTAGGTACTTGATCCACCCTTGGGTGGGATTATACTACATAGATAATGCCTAGCAAAAAGGCCATTCCAGTAACAAATCAATCCAGTAACAAATAAGAGCAGTATTCCTTAGTTTTTTTTTTTAAGATTTTTATTGGGGAATTGGGGAATGAGAACAGTGCTGGGGAATTGGGGGGAGGGGAAGAGACAAGTTGCTGTCCTTTTTTTTTTTTCTCTTCAGTCTAGTTGTGGAGGACTTCAGTCCAGTTGCTTCACTGGCCCAAGTTGGCACCATCATTGCGCTCTTCCCAGGTGAGGCAGATCAGTCGCTGGCTTCTGGATGGCCGCTCACAGTGGCTGCTGGCTGCTCACGCTGGCTGCTGGCTACACATGGTAGCCCATGGCAACCCACTGCAGCAGGGGCTGCAGCCTACGCCGTCGCCGGTGACTCACGGCAACCCAGCTCCAGGTTGAGCTGTTGTTCAGCATCTTAGCTGTAGAGGGCAGTGTCACTGGCCCTCATTTGTGGGATCCGAACCGGGGCCCTCTGGTGTCCCAAGCCAGCTCTTAACCAACGTGCCACTCGGCTAGCCCCAGTTGTAGTTGTTTTTGTTTTTTGATAAAACAAAAGCAAACTAAAATCCCAAACTAAAAAGAGCTTCACAGCTATTGTAGTATATTATAGTTCTCCAGAGATACAGAACCAATAGGAGATATATATATGGAGAGAGAGAGAGAGAGGAGAGAGAGAGAGAGAGAGAGAGAGAGAGAGAGAGAGAGAGAGAGAGAGAGGTTTATTATAAGGAACTGGCTCACGAGATTATGGAGAAGGTTGGCAAATCCAAAATCTGCAAAGCTGATATCCCAATTCGAGTCTGAAGGCCAAAAGCTGCTGTAGAACCTGGGAGAGCCAATGTCCCAGTTTGAAGGTCACTAGCCAGGAAGAGCTGACGGTTCAGTTGGAAGGCAGAATTCTCTCTTACTCCGTGGGGGAGGGGGGACTAACCCTTGGTTCTGTTTAGGCCTCCAACTGACAGAATGTGGCCCACCCACATTACAGAGGGCAATCTGCTTTACTAAACTCCACCAATTTCAGTGTTAATCTCGTCCAAAAACACTCAGAATAATATTTGATCAACTATCTGGGCACCTGTGGTCAGTCAAATTGACACATAAAATGAACCATCACAGGTAGTAAGTGAACACAATTCTGGGGCAACGTTCTTGAGAGATAGATAGTCAGATACACGTTTTATAAGTACTTTTGTATTTACATATTTCTCTCTTTTAAATAAATCCACTTCAAGCATACAATTTTATTTCATATGCTCTGCTTTTCAAATTTCTAGAACAGGGATCTTCAGCTCAGCACTATTGAAATTTTTGGCCAGATACGTCTTTGTTGTGGGGGGCTATCCTGTAGGATTGTTGAGTAGTGCCCCTGGCCTCTACCCACTAAATGCCAGTCGCGACTCTCTCCTCCCCTCCCCCCCCCCACTAGATGCCAGCAGCAGCCCCCTAGTGGCAACCAAACATCTCTAAAAATGGCTGCTGGAGGGCTTAATCACCCCTGGTTGAGAAACACTGTTCTAGATTGATATGGGGATGACGATCTGTTAGCAGCTGTTTTGTTGTAGTATCAGAAACTTCAGAGAGTGAGTTTTTTTAAAAAGTCCTTGCTTTCATTTCTCTTTAACTGCTGTGTAGATAGCCTACTCAGGCATTACCAATCATTTTGTATATATGTGATTGCCTCGTATTTCACTGCCTTTTCCTATTAACTGCTGGGACACAAATGTACTAAATATGAGTGTAGAATCAGGAAGTGGTTATATGTGTGGGGTATAGTCACACCCACACATACTTACATGCACACATAATATTCATGATGGTTTCATTTTTTTATTTTGGTAAGTCACTAGTGCCTAAGTGGATTGGTCTGAATTCTAACATGCACAGACTGCATGTCTCAATTTGCAAATGTGTCCTCTTATACAATCATGCTTGGTGTTTTCTTCCAGATTAATCTAAGACACGTCAATTGGCAGGAAGTTAAATGCCCGTGTTGGGAAGGCATATGATCCATTTTTTTTTCTTACAATTGGCCAAGAACATCTCACATGTTATGATTAAAGGGATGAAAATAATAGGCTGAGTTTCACTATAGCTTGAATAAATTTTCATATTGTGGTGGCTTTTTTCTTTTTCCTCTAACTGCTTGGGCCTGAGTCAGGGTCCTGCAAAATAGAACTTGCTTTTCTTTCCTTTGAGTCCCTGTGTTGGGCTTCCAGACCACAGAGGTGCACCAGCAGCTAGTCCCTAGTTTGTGGAAGTGTATGTTTGCTGGAGTTAAACTTGCTAGACGGTCAGGCTCATCTAAAATTTCACAACATTCAAATGTGGAATTTTATATACTAGTAGTGGCATCTGTTTACTTTTTAAAAAAATCTCTTATTTGTTTTATGTTTGAATCCCTAAACAGGCAGTCATGGTGTCCAGAAGCGAAAATGAGAGATCTGGGTTTGACTTCTGGTTCTAGTACTTGAAACTAATGCGTGTCCTTTCTGAGATTCAGTTTCAGCATCTATAAAATGTGAATACCACTTTTCCTTCAGGGATATTTCAACAATTAAACATGACAGACTATATGTAACTGAGAGCCCTAAAAGAACTTGATACAGAATGGATAATCAACAAACATTATTTAAATGAGTAAAAAAAGTAAGTGATTTTGAGCAACAAAATAAAAACCAATAGTATTGAGTTATAACCCAAAGGACAAAATAAACATTCATGAATCCATACGGATATAAATAAACAACTTAACAAACAAATAAATGGGTAAGAGACAGCTCTTTCTTACCAAAGAATTCCAATTAATAAATGTTGAAGCAATAACGGAAACAGAAAAATCACTACAGTAATAACAGTTTCAGGCAAGAACTACCAATGTTGCTAAAATTAGTAGGCAAAGTTTGAGGAAAGACAGGATATTTGCCTCAAAGTATTTTCCCCAAGATAGATATTAATTACAAAGGGAAAAATAGTAACTGCAGTAGAGAAAATCAGCAGATACCATCATAACCAGGAGATCAAGGTTGGCATCACCAGTAATAAGACACATTGGCATTATGTACCCCCTGCTATGAGGCATCAAAAAGGACATATCACTTCTGTGGTATTCTGGCCCAAAAATGCAGAACCTCAATCAAATCATGAGAAAACAAGTAACAAACGCCAATTGAGGGACATTCTACAAAATACCTCATCAGTACTCTTCAAATGTGTCAAGGTCATGAAACAAAGGAAAGACAATAACAGTCACTGATCTGAGGAAACTGAGAAGATAGGACAACTACATGCAATGTGGGATCCTTGATTGGATCCTGGAATAGAAAACGCACATCAGTGGAAAAACTAGTGAAATCTGAATACAATCTGTAGTTTAGTTAGTTCTACTGTACTAACATTGATTTCTTAAGTTTTGATAACTGTACTATGGTTATACATTGGGAGAAGCTGGGGGTAGGGGATATGGGAATTCTCTATACTATTTTTGTAACTTTTCTGTAAGTCTGAAATTATTTTAAAATAACAAGTTAGAAAGTAAATGAGTAAGACAGTTGTAGTTATACGCCACCCTTCCCCCTGGGGCCAGGCATCACAGTTGCCAGATCTGGTTCACATGTACCATTACATGAAATCCTTAAACATCCCGCGAGACAAGCATCCCCATCCTGCGGCTGAGGAAACTGAGGCTCGGAGCCAGAAGCAGTTTGCCGGAGGTTGCTCAGCTGCGCTTTCCTTTTTCCTGCTCAGTCAGTCACACCAGAGGCCAGTCGGTGAAAGAAAAACGAGCTGGTGATACTTTATTACACAGGAAGTTGGCAAAGGACAGATTCATTTTGGTCAAAGAACCCCCATCCAGCATTCCCAGTGATCCACCTGGTGATGCAGCTAACATAATCCAACGATTGCTGCTATTTACTGAGTGCTTGCAGTGTACCAGAGCCATTAAATGAGATGCAAACCCCACCATGAAAACTGGAATTCTCATTAGGCCCCAGGCTTAGAAAAGGCCCAGCTTCAAAGATTCTGACTGGCACAGACTGCAGATTCCCATTTCCAGAAGTTCAAACACCTCCTTTCTTATCTAAATGAGAGAAAAGAAAAAAAAAAAAAGGTTAAGATCAAGAAAAGATGGTCTTGGTGAATAAATTCAACCATCTGGACTCCCTGGTATTTATGCAGCTGTTATGGACAGAATCAGGGATGATAAAAGTTCTCACCCATATTTTATCCAGAGTTGAAAGTTACATAAGTAAGGAAGAGATAGTATATAAAACATCAGTTTTGTTAAAATGCCCTCTTGCTTGTAGTCACTCCAAATAAAATCTCATACGAAAGAATCCCACACAAAGATATTCAAAGTGTGCCCCAATTATATAATACATAATATATTGATATAGGATAACGGCTAATAATAAACATAATCAACATAATAAAAACTATGGGTGACAAGGTTTTTGTGGTTACCGTTTCTTGTTACTATAAATAGAAAACTTGTGGTGGACTACTCACATTTAACATTGAAAACTGAAATCATCAAATATGGCTTCACATGCCAGACATAAAATTGGTTAAACCAGTTTTTAAAAAATCAGTCAGTTCAGGAGACAGAGAGAGAGAGAGAGAGAGAGAGAGAGAGAGAGAGAGAGAGTATTACTGAGAAAATTATCTCAACTTGAAATGATGTCTGATATAACTCACCAATCAATTATAATCAGGTCTTGTCATTCTGGGGATATAGTTTATGTGGTAAATTAATTTATTCAGCATGTTTGGAGAAGGAATGCCACGCTTCTTTGCTAGTTACCCCCATGATTCATTCCTGGTTGATGAATGGCAGCCATGTTTTTTGCTGCACAAATCCTTTTCTCTCCAAAAGCTATTTGGCTAGATTGAAAAATTAGCCCCACGATAACACGGTGGGTGGCAAATCAATTTTTCACATTATGATGATAATGGATTACTTTCATAAATATATAATGAGCTAATGCTATGCCCACAAAGGTATTCAGTCAGTTTTAATCCACTGAGACATCAAAAAATGTCCCCATCCTCCCAAACCAAAATAGCCCTCTAAATTAAGCAAGTGGGATTTGGGGGATGTGGAGATTCAGGCAATGAGGCAGATTTGCGTCTCCAAGTGTACTTATAAGGATGAAAAGCAAAGAAGATCATGTATCCACAGCAAGGCACAGGGAGATGTGCCAAGTCCTTCAGATCGTCCTGTTTTTTAAAGGTATGGCATAGATATGGTTCCTAGTGGGGCAGAGGCCACTGGTCATTTAGTGAAGAAACAAAGCTGATTCCTTAAAACACATAGAAAGGACAGAGTTAAGTGTAAGAGGTGAGATGGACTCTGTAATTGTCATTACTTTAGAGTAACTCTCAAAGGCCAGAATGTGCTGGCTCCCCATGTCACAGACTTTATGACTGCATTTGAACTCAAGATCAATTTGGAAAAAAAAAAGAAAAGATTAAAGGCAACTGCTGGTTACACGGTACCTCGGGAATGTCCATCATCCGTTTCAGCTTCTGATCTCTCCAGTTCCAGTCAAAAACCAGAAACTTTAAGGGGTTCAAATCAAGGCCACCTGAAAGATACAGGGAGACAGTTGCTGCAGTAAAGACCTCATGACATAGCTTATTAAAATGACTTTTTATTCTCCTGGTTGCATTTTGCCTCATTTGCTGTCTTCTCCCCTGGTAACTAATAATTGCATGTTAAATGCTACCCTTGCTTAATGGAAAACAAATGCAGCTCTGAGATTTGCTCTCCTTATAATCTTATCACTGATTCTGAGGGAAGCAGAGAAGCTGCTCTCGCTAAGCTTGTCAAATGCTCAAGTGCTGGCAAACAATCAATCCCAAGCCTCCATTTTACGGAGCCTCAGAGAGTGAAGTTTCATTCCTAACAGGGATTTGATAAGATCCTTTGTGGTATGGGGTAGTGTCCTGTCAGAGGAGTTGAGTCCAGCGGAGTCTGCATGACTGAGGGGGTGAGTGGGCAAAAAGATGAGGATAGGGTTGGGAGATTAATTTTAGGCAGAAAAGGAAGTTCAGATGAATAGGCTCTATTCAAAGTCTGCTATCCTTTGAGACTGGTAAACCACTTAAGGACTCCATTCCCACAGTTTTCCTGTCTATCTAGAGACAATAATGGAATGTGGGGCTCGAAGGGATCTCAGGGACTGTCTGTTCCTCGGAGGTCTCAGAGTTGGGCACAGTTAACTCTTCTCACTCCCCATGTTCTTCTCACTGCTCCAGGCTGTTACATGTTTCATGCGCAAACATAACTGAAGCCTGCCTTTGTATAACTGCAGCATGCCCCTTCAACTTTTCTCTGTGATTATTTTAATATTTTCCTCTCTGCCCAAAAGACTTTTTCATGCTTTTTATAATTATAATGCCTAGTATTTAAAACTCTCTCTGAAAAATTTAAAAATGATAAATAAAGACAATGGGTTAATAGTCTTCCCTTAAAAATAATGTACAGCTGGTGGCAGAGCAAACAGATACAGCCTCTCTGGAAAGCAACTGGGCATTATATTAAAAGGAGCTTTAAATGCTTATGATTTGAAAAAATTATTTTCCTTCTATGACACATCTCAATCAAAACATCAGAAATTTAAACACAGTTTCTTGCAAAGATGATCACTGCAGTATTATTTATAATAGCAAAAATCAGAAACAATGCCAATATCCTACCATAATAGAATTGTTAAGAAACAATATAACTTAGGGTTAATACATAAAATATGTAAAGAGCTCATAAAACTCAATAGAAAAGAAAAATCTAATTTAAAAATGGGCAGAGGAACTGAATATACATTTTTCCAAAGAAGATATCCAAATGGCCAAAGGTACACGAAAAGATGCTCAACATCACTAATTCTCAAGGAAATGCAAATCAAAACCACAATAAGATATCACCTCACACCTGTTATCATAAAAAGGACAAGAGATAAGAGATAACAAGGATTGGCAAGAATGTAGAGAAAAGGGAACACTGGTGCACTGTTAGTGAGAATGTAAATTGGTGCAGTCATTATGGAAAACAGTATGGAGGTTCCTCAAAAAATTAAAAATAGGACTACCATATTATCTGACATTCTCAATTCTGGGTATATACCCAAAGGAAATGAAATCACTATCTCAAAAATATATCTGTACCCCCATATTCACTGCGGCATTATTTATAATAGCCAAGAAATGGAAACAATCTGCCCATGAATGAATGAGTGGTTTAAAAAAATGCGATATACATAGAAAATAGAATATTATTCAGCTATTAAAAAGGAAGGAAATCCTGCCATTTGCAACAACATGGATGGACCCTGAGGGAATTATGATTAAGTGAAATAAATCAGAGAGAAAAAAGACAAATATTGTATGGTATTACTTAAATGTAGAATGTAAAAAAACTGAATTCATACATACAGAGAACAGACTGGTGGTTGCCAGAGGTGGGGATGGTGGAAATGGGTGAAGGTGGTGAAAAGGTAAAAATTGAGATAAATAAGTTCTGGGGATATAATATATAACCTGGTGGCTATAGTTAACAATAGGGTATTCTGTATTTAAAAGTTGCTAAGAGAGTAGATATTAAAGGTTCTCATCAGAAGAAAAAAGTTGAAACTATGTGAAGTAGCTGATATTAACTAAATTTATTGTGGTAATCATTTTGCTACACACACATGCACACACACACATACACACAATCATTATGTTGTATACCTTGGACTAATACAATATTATATTTCAATTATATCTCAATAAAACTGGAACAAAACAACATAACTTTACAATAGAATATTACATAACCATTAAAATGAAAAATTAAAACTATTTCATGAGTAGGAAAGTCTTCATGAGAGATATTAAGTGGAAAAGGTAGATCATAAAGTTATGATACACAGTATGAGCTCCATTTATAAGAATATATACAAAGTGGGGAACTTCTGGTCAAGATAATGAAGTAGGCAAATGTTGTGTTTATCTTCTCCCACAACCACATCAAAATTACAACTAAATTGTAGAACAACAACCCTTGAGAACCACCGGAAGTCTAGTTGAACAGAACTCCTACAACTAGGGATAGAAAGAAGCCATGCTGACTTGTAGAAGGAGTGGAGATGTGGGCACGTGTAATGGTTAAGAATTGAGAGGGATATCTGGCTGCAGAGGTTCCCCCTGAGGAGCGAGGGGTCTCAGATACACACTGGGCTCCTCAAACCACACCACCAGTGCTGCAAAGAGGAGTCCCCACATATGGCTGTGAAAATCAGAGGGGATTCTGTCTGGGTAAAACAGAGGGCTGCGGGAGTCACAGGCATTTCTCTTAAAGGGCCTACTCACTGATGGCCTCACTTGCTCTGAGCTCCAGTGCTGGGGTAGCAGCTTGAACAGTGCCAGGGACATATGGGGAGGAACTGAATTGTCTGGCTTCTGGAAGAGGGCTGGAGGGGCAGCTCTGTCCAGGACAGAAGTGCTGACAGGAGCCACTGTTCTTTTGTTGAGCCCTCCCTTCACCCAGCCTGCTGGCTCAGGCTGGCAGCAAATCTGAGTCTCCATCAAGCTGGCTAACGCTGCTTGCCCCAACCAGGTGATTCCCTGAGGACTCACCCCACCCAACTGGCTCGCAGGCCCAAACTTCTTTCAGAGGCTGTTCCTCACAAGCAGCGGGTCTCAGTCTGAGCTGTGGACTTCCTTAAAATCTCTGAAAGGCCCACAAATCCCAAACAAGCAGTGCCCGCCTCAGAGTGCCCCATACCTCTTGCTAAGCAGCCCCTAGCCTGGCACTAGTGGCAGCTGGCCTCAGTTTGCAGCATAGCCTCTCCCAGGTGCCTCCAAGCCCAGCACAAGCAGCTACCAACTGCAGATCACTTTGTGGCTCTTACCAAGTGGCCTTGAGCCAGGCACAGACAGTGGCTAACTTAGGTCTATACTAGAGCCTTTCTCAAGAGCCCCAGAACCTACATACCTGGTAGCCGGATTTACACCACACCACAGCACTCCCCAGTTAGCTGGACAAATGACACCTCCAAAAGGTAGACTCAGCAGTCACCAGAGCCTCGCTACAGAGAATCCCACTCTGTAGTCATGGCCAGTCTTCACAGCCAGTCAGCCTGAGGATCAATCCCACCCACTGATGTGCCAACAGCAATCCAGGATCAGAGACAACAGATGGGCATGCACACCCACACAAGGGATACCGCTGGAGCACCCAGCTCAGGGAATCAGAAAGACTGTGCCACTGGGTCTCACAGGACATTTACTACATAAGGCCACCCTCCCAAGACTGGGAGGCAGAGTAGATCTAACTAACACATAGAAACAAACACAGGGACACATCCAAAATGCGGAGACAAAGAAATATGTCCCAAATGAAAGAACATGACAAAACTCTAGAAAAAGACCAAATGAAATGGAGGCAAGTAATCTACCAGATACAGAGTTCAAAACACTGATTATAAAGATGCTCAATGAATTTAGGGGAAGAATAAAGGAACTCTGTGAGAGCTTGCACAAAGAGATACAAAGCATAAAAAAGAACAAGTCAGAAATAAAGACTACAATAACTGAAATGAAGAATGAATTAGATAGAATCAACACCAGGTTAGATAAAGAGCAGAGAATCAAATAAGTGATTTTGAAGACAAGTAACAGAAAACACCCAATTGAGTAGCAAACAGAGAAAAGAATAAAAAAGATGAGGATAGTTTAAGGGACTTCTGGGACAACATCAAGTGTAACAACATTTGCATTATAGGGGTACCAAAAAGAGAAGAGAGAGAACAAGGGATTGAGAATTTGTAATGACTGGAAACTCCCCTAACCTGGCAAAGGAAACAGACGTATAAGTCCAAGAAGTGCAAAGCATCCCAAACAAGATGAACCCAAAAAAGACCACACCAAGAGACATCATAATTAAAATACCAAAGGTTAAAGACAAACAGAGACTTAAAAGTAGCAAAAGAAAAGCATTTAATTATGTACAAGGGAGCTCCCATAAGACTGTCAACTGATTTCTCAATAGAAACTTTGCAGGCCAGAAGGGATTGTCATAAAATATTCAAAGTGATGAAAAGCAAGAAACTACAAACAAGATTACTTTATGTAGCAAGGCTTTCATTTAGAATCAAAGGAGAGATAAAGAGCTTCCCAGACAAGACAAAGCTAAAGGAGTTCATCACCACCAAACCAATTTTACAAAAAATGTTAAAGAGACTTCTTTTAAGAAGAAGAAAAAGAAAGAGATAAAATATATGAATAATAAAATGGCAAGAACTACCAATAATTACTTTAAATGTAAATTGATTAAATATCCAATCAAAAGACATAGAATGGATGAATGGATAAGAAAAATAAGACCCATACTTATGCTGTCTACAAGAAACCTACTTCAGATTGAAAGACACATATCGACCGAAAGTAAAAGGATGGAAAAAGATTTTATGCAAATAGAAACAAACAAAAAAGCTGGAGTAGCAATACTTATATCAGAAAAAATAGACTTTAAAACAACGGCTATAACAAGAGACAAAGAGGGAAATTTCATAATGATGAAAGGGTCAATCCAACAAGAAAATAT